TACTAAATCTTACCTTGCTCCTCCAAGAAGGGTTCATGTGTATATTCTTCCACTCATAATGTCTGGTTCAGTGCTTATACACAGTATTTCTCTTCTCCTGAATAAGTGAATCAGTGGAAAGGGTCAAATGAAACCCTTTTTTCCGTTCTCCAAACAGGAGGGTTTGGACCCAAACTTTCCTACGGGCAGCTACTTTTACATTTTTCTTTTTGCAGCCATCACATTTCCCCCGAGATTTTGCTTGTTTCTCTACCTAAACTTGGAAGGAGAACTGATTTAATTTCTCAAAAGCTATTGAACAGATTCAGAAATGGTATCTTTGGAGAAGTTTGAAGGTTCAAATATCCTTCTCAGTCCAAATGCATCTTCCTCTTTTAGTGCATTTATCTCCTTATTAATTTACATCACATGTCTTTTAAAAGTTGGATTTTATGCTCCGGTTTCTCTTCAGATCATATAAACCTCTGGCCCTTTTTTTTTAAAGTTGGATTTTGACTTTAGTATAAATAAACATAATGAATAAATCAGAAAGTTGATTCAGCGTATCAGTCACTGGAGAGAGATACAGAAATTAGTACAAGACTGAGCACCGTAAACTAAAGACAGGACTGGCTAGGGTTATCTGCCTAAGAAAGAAACCTTCTTATTCAGCTCTGCAAGGATGGGTATGCCTAAATACGGCTTTGGACATCTGCAAACTGCTTTGGGAATTATTAAAAATAACAAAGGCTGTACTGTAGCTGATATGTGAAGCTGAAAAATTTTGAAAGTCTTAAGTTTTTTTTTTTGTTCTAATTTATTGTATCAGTGAGGTCTTTTTGATTAAGAAAGTTCCACTTTCCCTGGTCCTCTGGGATAGAATGCGGTCACTGTTGTAGTTAAATCTGAGGTGAATGCAGCTACCATTGAGGCCACTGGACATTCTAACATAAATGCTTCTCTAAATGTTTCACTTCCTTGTTTATGTTTTCGTTTTGGTTTCTAGGAATAACCTATTTTTAACAAAGCATATCAAGCATTTAAGATCTTATGGTGTTCAGAAAATGTAGGCAACTTGATTAAGGTTATACCTTCTAATGAATTAGTAGAACAAATATTACACCTAGATCTGTCCAGGTAATAATACACATGCTTTTAGGCACAGCATCAAATCCCCACCCCTTTATGTTCCCTAAAGCTTGGACAGAAATGTAAATATTCAAGTGTTTTACAGCTAAGTTATTATGGATAGAGTCTTGTGGAAATTAGAGACCTTTAGTTAGTAGTTAGTGACGAAGTTTTCAATTAGAGTAAAATGCCCCACCTGTCCATAGAGGAATCTAATGAAGGAAGGGAAAAAGTCTTACTAAGATTTCCTAGTTCCTCTCAACTAAGAAGTTGTATATCACTTTAGGGAGAAATCCCACAAGTCTTGTTAGGAAGAAGGTAAGCTATTTGACATGTCTTTCTGAATCTTTCCTTTAGTTCCTTCCATTCTTTGCATGGGTTCTCAAAGCTGCGCTCTCACCCAAATGTAAAGTAATCCCCTGTAGGTTAGTTGATGGCTTTCGGTTATTGCCACCACCTAGGGTATTTGCATTTTAATAGAAGGTTTTGAAAGAACTTCAAGCTTTGACTCAAAGCAATAAATCTCTATTGGTGGAATTTGAGGGAAGGTGATAGATTGGGCAGGAGATATCTGTGATGAAAGGAGCCCACTGGGTCTATTCTAATCACAGCATGTGCTAAAGTGTTCCTACTTAGTAGCCTAACTTCTGCTTCCAGAGTAAAAGCTGTTAGGACAACTCCTGTGGCCTGAATAATGAAGTCCTCCTGAACAGTTTCATTTTCTTTCCGAGTAAAACAAGTTAAAGAGCTAGAAATTATTTTTCCTTTTCTGCTTCCTCTAGGACATTTTACTAGAGATCATCACAAACCTTATTTTTTTCCTGGTGGTGTTCAAATGTACGTTTAACATTATATTTAGATTCAAGCTTCCAAACTTTGTATCTCACTTTTTTATATCCTGGTAGCTTTTTGAACCACTCAAAGTGATAAAATAGGATGCTTGAGGAATTCAGATGAAATGGCTTCACAAATAATTTCAAATTTATTTAAATAAATATAGCGAGCCAGGCACTAAGTTTAAAGAGACACATACATATGCACTTTCTGCCATGTGATGTTAAAGTAGACTAGAGAAGCAGATTACTGCAATCAAGCCAGAGTCACAATAGAGTTGCTCACTGTGCATTTATCATGGTGCCTGGCAAGAACACTGGAACTTGAAATGGTTAGTAAGAAGGACTGACCTTTACTTAGGTAAAATGGGGATGATGATAGTTTGGTGTACAAATGGTGGGGAAGTAGACAGTATTTACAAATGGTATAATAGGATACCAAAGCAACTCAGAAAACTGTTAAGAAATTAAAAAGGGCAGGGCCAGGGATATAGCTCAGTGGTGTAAGCACCTGCCTGGCAAGCGCAAGGTCATGAGATTGATTCCTGGTACAAAAAAAA